CCTCCTCCACTGCCCCCGTTAGCTCCTCCAGCGCCCCTGCCCCCCTTGCCCTTGCCAGAGCGACGTTTCCCACTCCAGACCAACGAGTTCGGCCGTAGCAGCAGAGGCAACAGAGGGCAAAAGAGGGGAGGGGGAACACCCCTCAAAGATGGGGGTGCGAGGGTCACTCCGAGAGGCTCCTACAGCTACTATGCTCTTTTCTGCTGCTAGGAGGGCCTTCTCGAGGAGGTCAACGGTAAGAGTGGTGGGGCAAACTGAGAGGAAGTGGTCCCTGACTACGCGAAGGGAGTCAGGGAGGCGGGTGACTATGTAGTAGAGGGTGATGTACATGGGGGGGGGGGCTTCTTGGCGCAGAAATCAACAGGAAGCGCAGCGCGGTAGCGAGTGTCACTAGTGCGGAGGTGCGTAATGAGGTCAGCGACTGTGGGAAAGGCAGCAAGGTCAGGGAAGAGGTACGGTAGCATGAGGCGGCTCAGTGCAGCAGTGGCAGGGGAGGAGTAGCGTGCAACTACAGCGTCGTATAAGGTCTGCGCACTCTTGTACTGGCTAAAGTGCGCACGCTCAGAGGTAGGCAGGTGGCGACGCACAGCAAGACGTGCAGCAGCATCTCGAGTGGCCCACTGTGAGCAAACAGTGGCGCCAGTATCAGCAGCGGGGGCAAGAGAGGCACCAGAAGTGAGGTCAAAGAGGGAGAGTCCGTCTGCCCTATCGCACTGTAAGAAAAGCTGCAGGTCATCTATCCAGACATCAAAGTCAATGGCCCGACCCTCAGCGTCAAAAGCGAGGACACTAGGGGTAGCCATGACAGCAGTAGACTAGCAGCGCAAACAGTAGGGTGAGGGCAGTGCTGTGAAAGAGGCGCTGCTCTTACCGGACAGGGCGGCTCGGGCGGCTCGGCTGCAGGGCGACTCGGCGGCTCGGCAGCTGGGCGGCTCGACGGCTCGGCTGCTGGGCGGCTCGGCGGCTCTGCTACTGGGCGGCTCGGCGGTTCTGCTGCTCGGCTGCTGGGCGGCTCGGGTGCTGGGTGGCTCGGCGGCAGGGCGGCTCGGCTGCTGGGCGGCTCGGCTGCTGGGCGGCTCGGCTGCCAGGCGGCTCGGCAGGGCCGCTGAGAGGGCGGCGTCCGGGGCCGCTGGGAGGAGGCGGCGCCAGCAGGTAGGTGGCGGGGCCGCACAGGTAGGTGGCGGGGCCGCACAGGTAGGTGGCGGGGCCGCACAGGTAGGTGGCGGGGCCGCGGGTAGGTGGCGGGGCCGTTAGTAGGTGGCGGGGCCGTAGGGAGGTGGCTGGGCCGCTGGTAGGTGGCAGGGCCAGTAGATAGGTGGCGGGGCCGCACAGGTAGGTGGCGGGGCCGCGAGTAGGTGGCGGCGCCGTCAGTAGGTGGCGGGGCCGCAGGTAGGTGACGGGGCCGCTGGTAGGTGGCGTCTCCGCAGGTAGGTGGCGGGGCCAGTAGGTAGGTGGCGGGGTCGCACAGGTAGGTGGCGGGGCCGCGAGTAGGTGGCGGGGCCGTCAGTAGGTGGCGGGGCCGCAGGTAGGTGACGGGGCCGCTAGTAGGTGGCAGGGCCGCAGGTAGGTGGCGGGGCCAGTAGGTAGGTGGCGGGGCCGCACAGGTAGGTGGCGGGGCCGCGAGTAGGTGGCGGGGCCGCAGGTAGGTGACGGGGCCGCGAGTAGGTGGCGGGGCCGTCAGTAGTGGCAGGGCCGCAGGTAGGTGGCGGGGCCTACAGGTAAGTGGCGGGGCCGTCACGGAAGGCGACGGTAAGGGCGGCATAAGGGCCGCAGGGTGGCGCGAGGGCCGCGGGGTGGGCGACGAGGCCGCAGGGCGGCGGATCGGGGCCGGTAAAGGGTGGCGCGATGGCCGCGGGGTAGGCGACGAGGCCGCCGGGCGGCGGGGCGGGGCCGCGTCAAAGGCGGCGCGACGGGGCCGCGAAAGGGGGGGGGGGCGCGACGCGTCCGCGAAGGGCGGCGCGACGGGCCGCGACAGGGCCGCTAAGGGCGACGCGACGGGGCCGTGAGGGGCCTAGCGAGGGCGCGATCGTGGGGAGAGCACACGGGGCGCGACTCGGGCCTGAGCGGAGCGCGCTCCGGGCAGGAAAAAAAAACAATCGTAGTGGTGGGCCCTAGGAATCGTTCCCGTTAGGGAACCTGCTCGATACCATGAGAAGAAACGAGAATGAAATGAACTATGAATGAATTGGGTACAAGTACTAACCCTCATTGGGTTGTACCCCTTATGGGCTACCCCACTATAGCCTACACAATATGCATAAGCTACAATGTTCTGACAACCCCCTGCTCAAACCCTAGCTCCACTCCAATAGCACCCCCCTTACACCCGAAATCGCAGGCTCACACACATCCACCTCCCTCAAAACCCTAGCTCCACTCCCACAGCACCCCCCTTAAACCCTAAACCCCAGGCTCACACACATCCACCCCCCTCAGCGACAGCTGCAGTAGTGGGAGACGAAGGAGGAGGAGGAGCAGGGGAGACCACACACCCGTCACCCTCTATTCGCCACCCCCAGACCCTAACACAGGGCTGGGCGGGACGGCGGGTAGGTAGGTTAAGGGGGGGGGCGACGCGCGGTCTTCCAAGGCGCCAAAACAGGCGGCAGAAGGGGCGATGCTCGCCCCCCTCCCCCAGGTCGCCCCTCAGGTCACCTCGACAGGCGACGGGAAAAGGGGGGGGGGGGGGGGGCGGTGCACGTGCCCCCGATGCGCCGCGGCTGGCGACGGGGCATGGCCGGGGCGGGGCCGGGGCAGGGTCGAGGAGGGGCCGAAAGGGGCGGCGACGGGGCCGAAAGGGGCGGCGACGGGGCCGCAAGTGGCGGCGGCGCGGCCGCTGGAAGCGGCGACGGGGCCGATAGGGGCGGCGTCTGGGCCGCTAGGGTCGGCGACGGGGCCGCTGGCGGCGACGGAGCCGCTAGGGTCGGCGACGGGGCCGCTGGAGGCGACGACGGGGCCGCTGGCAGCGGCGACGGGGCCGATAGGAGCGGCGACGGGGCCGCTAGGGTCGGCGACGGGGCCACTGGCGGCGACGGGGCCGCTAGGGTCGGGGGCCGCTGGAGGCGACGACGGGGCCGCTGGCGGCGGCGACGGGGCCGATAGGAGCGGCGACGGGGCCGCTAGGGTCGGCGACGGGGCCGCTGGCGGCGACGGGGCCGCTAGGGCCGGCGACGGGGCCGCTGGAGGCGACGACGGGGCCGCTGGCGGCGGCGACGGGGCCGATAGGAGCGGCGACGGGGCCGCTAGGGTCGGCGACGGGGCCGCTGGCGGCGTCGACGGGGCCGATAGGGGCGGCGACTGTTGAGAATCTAGCAAGGCTTAGGAGCCATGGCTAGTAGAGTTCGAGTAGGAACGGTTGAGTTCGAGTGAGTGGAGAAGATTGCAACAAAAGAGTGGGTTCACTATAGAGCGAGCAGTACAAATAGGCAAGAATGAAGAAAGGTGCACCACCATACAGAAAGTTACATGACTACAGTAATCTACACTACAGGTAGTTACAAAGCAATATATAGAATTATATATTATTCTGACACGCCCCCATAAGTGCCTGTAGGGAAGAATGTGTAGTCAACGCCCCCATAATGGGGTACACAAGGGAGAGTGCGTAGCAGAACGGGAGAGGGCAGGCAAGGAGGAGGGAGAGAGGGAGAGAGAGAGGAGAGGAGGTGGTAGGCTCTGGTTGGTCACCCTCTACATCCCCTCACCCTCCCCCTCCCCCTCCCCCTCCCCCTCCCCCCCACACTGTTGCAGGAGCAGCAGAGGGGGGGCAAACGGAGGAGGATGGGGCCGTAGGGCCAGGGGACCACACATCACCCATCACCCCCACACCCGCCACCCCCAGTCCCTCCCCGGCTCCCCCACACCCTCACACCCTCCCCCCCAGCGGCAGCTGCAGCAGAGGGAACAAAAGGAGGAGGAGAAGGGGGGGGGCCGACGCACGGCCTCCCCGGGCGCCAAAGCAGGCGGAAGAGGGGGCGACGCCTGCCCCCCCCTTTCAGGTCGCCCCTCCCGTCACCTGTCGAGGCGACCTGAGGGGGCCGCGCTGTCATTTTGAAACGCAATTCAAAATTTTGGGGGTTTCCAAAGAGTTCCACATTTGTGGTCCGGGCGGGCGGTCGTCCGGACCTGAGTCCCAAACGTCCGGACGGAGCTCTGTTCGGACGTTTTGGGGGCTCCGTCCGGCCATTTGATGAAAACGGAAAAAGTTCCATGGGGTACGAAGCAGACCGCGTCGCGAAGACCAATCAGCGCAAGGGGGTGAGTGGGGACGGAGAAGCCATGTGCGCCATGGAGAATGGCAGAGCCAGAAGCTCCATTATGTATTTGGGATGATTCACGTACCGCCGTCCTCCCTCTCGTCACGGCGAGCTCCGCCGCGCGCCGATTGGGCGTAGCGAGCAGCCGCGTGAAAGACGCCGCAGGTCCCGGGCGTCTCCCGCAACTCGTGGTGTTCGGAGCCGCGCGGTGTTCTACGACCAGGTTGGTATGTGAGCAGCTATTGTTACTGACAGGCATCAATCGCCGCCATGCGCGCCGCTGCCGGCGGCGCTTCCTTCTGCCGCGCGTATTGCCATCCGCTTTTCCGCCGGCAGTCCGCTGCGACTCCGCTCTCCGCCCCGCGCGCTTGCCGCTTTTCCGCCGGAGTCGCGGCTCTGATTTGTAGCAGCCGCGCCTCCTTGCCGTCTGTCCGCTTCGCTCGTAGCTGCAGCTGCTGCCGCTGCTGCTGTAGCGCCGCTCTTGTCGCGGCGAGGCGATCGCGCCTGCACGCGGAAAGGTGCGCCGCTGGTGCGCGGGGGGACGCGGATCCAAGAATTCCAGTCCTCGCGCGCACGGGGGAGAAATCAGGTCTCTGGGTGTGGCGGGAAGGTGACGGCGGAAGCGCGCTGTTGGGGGGGAAGCAGCGGAGCCATTGGCGCGGGGAGACCGGGGGAAGGCGGGAGGTGATGACGGGTTGCAGAGGGGCAAACGAGGGACGGCGGGGTGAAGGAGGGTGTGCTGGAATGGCGGAGTGTAGTGGCGGATCTGGGCAGGTTGTGGGAGTGAAGGGAGGGGATAGAACAGAAGAGGCAGCGAGGGATATGGAGGAGGAGGAGGAGGAGGGAGTTGCGATGGTGATTATTGGTGCCGGTCGGATAGGCCAGGCTTTCATGCAAATGGCTCCACCTAATAGGTCAGACAGTCAGGCTTTCTCACAAAATTACCTCCTCGATCTCCCACACTCCTTCTCTTCGATTTTATTCGTCGGCTCTCTCCCCCCTGTCCCCCCTGCTCCCATCATCTCCCTTCCCTCACACCATCCTCTCCTCACTCCTTCTCATCCTTCCCACCTCACCTCATTCACTTCCCAGCCATCACCAACTATCATCGCCTGTCCTCTACCTCACATCCTTCCTGCCCCACCCCACCTCTCACTCCTCCCTAGACTTATTACACCGCTCTTCTCCCCCTCGCTCCACTGCTTCCCCACTGCTCCACTCCACCACTGCTCGCCTCAGCTCCAATACCTTCCCTGCCGGCCCCTCGCCCTCTCACCCCGCTCTAACTCCAGTTGAACACCCACCACTGTTGTGTGCCACGTTCTTTCTCCTGCTAACCAATCTCCCCTCTTGCAACCCCCACTCCCCCCCCTCCCCCTCCCATCCTCCCCCCTCCCACCCTCCCTCCCCCTGCTACTTCCCACTCCCCCCTCCCGCCAGCGCACTGTTCCTGCCACGTGGCATGCCCCTCTCATCCCTGGTCCAGCTGTCGCCGCGCCATTCGCAGGGGCCAATCGTGGTGGCGACGCACAACTGCCACCTGGACGATGTGCTGGCGCAGGTACGACGTCACTCCGTATAGCCGGGGGGGGGGGGGGGGGGGGGGGGGGGAGGGGAGGAGCATGAGGGTGAGTTCAGGGGGGCGATGTGCGCCCGCAGGTACGGAGAGCTGACGTTGTGCGCTCTCTGTGATCCATCCATGGGGGTACTGGTAAAAGTTTCAAGGGGTAGAGGATTCAAAGGCAGAGGTGTAGGGTGAGGTGAGGTACGGTTCACAGGGGTGGGGTGGGGTGGGGTGTGGGTCGACATTCTCGCCCGTGTTAGCTCTATGAACCAGCGCAGCGCTTACATGCACGCCCCAGATCTGTCTTATTTCCCCCACCCCGCAGGCCCCCCCTGCGCGGCACAGCGACCTGGTGTTGGTGCAGGACATGCTCAACGTCCTTTCGGGCGTTTCAGAATTCCCCTCTTTTTCCCCCCTTCCCCCTTCCCCTCCCCCCTCCTCTCCCCCCCCCCTTCTCCCCGAAGGTTCCCCCTGCGCAACACAGCATCCTGGTGCAGAGCGGCATGCTGGACGATCGATGATGCCGCTAAGGAGTAGGCGCTTAAGAAAACCTCCCCTCCTCCCCCCCACCCCCGCAGGTCCCCCCTGCGAGGCACAGCGACCTGGTGCTGGTGCAGAGTGGCATGGTGGATGGCTTTAAGGGCACCTGAAAATGCTCCCCTACCCCCCTTTTCCCCCGCTTCCCAACCTCCCCCCGCAGGTCCCCCCTGCGCGGCACAGCGACCTGGTGCTGCTGCAGAGTGGCATGGTGGATGGCTTTAAGGGCGCCTGAAAATGCTCCCCTACCCCCCTTTTCCCCGGCTTCCCAACCCCCCCCCGCAGGTCCCCCCTGCGCGGCACAGCGACCTGGTGCTGCTGCAGAACGGCATGCTGGACGGCTGGCTGGCAGCGCACGGCCTCTCCCACGCCGTCACGCGCCTGCTGCTCTACATGGCCGCCTCTCAGCCTCAAGGGGACGCTGCTGGGGGGAACGCTGCTGGGGGGAATGCTGCTGGGGGGAATACCGCTGTGGGGAACGCTGCTGGGGGGAACGCTGCTGGGGGGAACGCTGCTGAGGGGAACGCTGCTGGGATGGACGCTGCTGGGGGGAACGCTGCTGGGATGGACGCTGCTGGGGGGGAGAAAGTGGATGAAAGGGCATTGCGTGTGAGCTGTCCATGCGAGCAGCAACACAGGAACGAGGAGACGGGAGGAGTGGTGTGGGAGGCGCCGTCGCTGTCCCAATCACACCTGCCTGAGTGCTTCACGTCATCCCCTCGCTACCCCCACGGCGTGCGCATCACGGACGGTGGGGGGCGGTCCGTTGCCAGTGGCAGGTGAGGTGCGCCGCTGCTGCTGCTGATGCTGCCGCCGCCGCCGCTGCTGCTTGAGTTACACTGTGTGAGGGATGCGTACGTGGGTGGGTGGGAGAGCGCCTGAGTCAAGTCAGGAGTCGCCTGCCACCGTCTGCCTGTGCTCGCACCGTCTGCCTGTGCTCGCACCGTCTGCCTGTGCTCGCACCGTCTGCCTGTGCTCGCACCGTCTGCCTGTGCTCGCACCGTCTGCCTGTGCTCGCACCGTCTGCCTGTGCTCGCACCGTCTGCCTGTGCTCGCACCGTCTGCCTGTGCTCGCACCGTCTGCCTGTGCTCGCACCGTCTGCCTGTGCTCGCACCGTCTGCCTGTGCTCGCACCGTCTGCCTGTGCTCGCACCGTCTGCCTGTGCTCGCACTGTCTGCCTGTGCTCGCACCGTCTGCCTGTGCTCGCTCCGTCTGCCTGTGCTCGCTCCGTCTGCCTGTGCTCGCACCGTCTGCCTGTGCTCGCACCGTCTGCCTGTGCTCGCACCGTCTGCCTGTGCTCGCACCGTCTGCCTGTGCTCGCACCGTCTGCCTGTGCTCGCACCGTCTGCCTGTGCTCGCACCGTCTGCCTGTGCTCGCACCGTCTGCCTGTGCTCGCACCGTCTGCCTGTGCTCGCTCCGTCTGCCTGTGCTCGCACCGTCTGCCTGTGCTCGCACCGTCTGCCTGTGCTCGCACCGTCTGCCTGTGCTCGCACCGTCTGCCTGTGCTCGCACCGTCTGCCTGTGCTCGCACCGTCTGCCTGCGTGTGCGCATGTGGCATGTGTGAAGGCGTGGCGTGCTGATGGGAGCGCGGCTGTGGTAATCCAAGAATTGTGTGATGGAGTAAAGTCAGGAATCACCTGTGCCTGCCTGCCACTCCCTGCCATTTGCCCCCCCTTCTGCTGCTCCCACACACTACCCGTATTATCCTCCCCTCGATCTCTCAACCGCTGTTCTTACCACCCCGCCCGTCCCACTCCCCCTTTTCCCCACCGCCCTTAAACACACTCTTCCCACTCCATTGTACTCTCCACCCCTCCCCCCCCTTCTCCCACAGCTGTGTTCCTTCATCTCTTTTGAGGCATCTCAAAAACCCTTTCCGAACCCTCCCCCTCCTTCCCCACAGGGGGGCGCCACTGATAGCGCGTCTCCTCTCCGCCTCAGCAGTCCCCTGCTCGCCCGATGCCCCCAGCACCTTCTGGGAGCTAGCCGGAGAGACGCTGCTGTGGAGCTGCACCTTCTGGCTGCTCTGCGCCTCCGCACCCTCTCCCAACTCCACCACTCCACTCCACTCCACTCCACTCCCCGCCCCGCCCCTCTCGCCCGCTCTAACAGTTGCACCCCACCCAAAGCGCATCTCTTTCCAGACACCTCAAAGACTCTTCCCAAACCCAAACCCTCTCCCCCTTTCCCTCACAGATGGGCGCCACTGATAGCGCGTCTCCTCTCCGCCTCAGCAGTCCCCTGCACGGTCGTTCCCCACAGCACCTTCCGGGGACGAGCAGGGGAGAAACTGATCTGGAGCTGCATCTTCTGGCTGCTCTGTGCCGCCAGGGGCGGGGCTCCACTGGGGGAGGTGGTATCTGCGGACAGGGGGACGGTGAGGGCGCTTGTGGGGGAGCTGTGGCCGCTGCTGGTGACGTTCTGGGGGGAGGGGAGGAGTGAGGAGGGGGAAAGGAAGGGCGAGGGCATTGTGGGAGGTGCGAGGGAGGTAGGAGAGGAAACGAGGGAGGCCACGGGGAGCAGGGAGAAAGGGGAGAGGGATGAGGGGAAGGGAGAGGAGGAGCGAGATGAGGAGGGAGAGTACGAGGCGATGTGTGAGCGGCTGTGCGCTTACTCCATGGCTATCCCCACAGTGGTGCCCAGCATGCCCATGGCTCTAGCCGAGTTCCCCTGGCGCAATGGCTGGTTCTTGCGCTCCTGTTCCCCCACGCCCACACACACCCGCCTGCTCGCCTCGCTGCTGCCCATATACCCAGATTGCCGTGATGTCATTCTGCCGTACCTCCCAGCTGAAGAGGCAAGCACGTGAGTCCACACGTAAGAGAATTTGTTCAGAAGCTCGCCTCGCCTGCTGGTACGCACACCTGCCTGCTCGCCTCGCTCGCTGCTACCCCTGTACCCGCATTGCCTCGACGTCATTTTGCCCTACCTACCAGACGGAGAGGCAGGCCGGTGACTTGAGACATAAGAGAAGGCTGTTGAAAAGCCCACCCGCTCCCGCCTACTCGCCTACTCGCCTCGTTGTTGCCCTTGTATGCGCATTGCCGTGATGTCATTCTGCTGTACATACCAAGGTTATTCTTTTGGTCGACTCTCAAAAGTCACCAGCAGGAGAGGCAAGCCGGTGACATCTGAGACGGCTCAAAAACAGGTGACCCTCAACACGAGAAAAGACTCTTCAAAAGCCCGTGCACCACCCCCTGCTCTCCTCGTTGCTGCCCTTGTGCCGGCATGGTCGTGGGATTACTCACTCCACTGTGGCTTTCAAGTCTGCCGTACCAGCAGGTGTGTGCTGTGCAGCTGATGGGGATAGCCGGTGCATGGCACAGGTAGTGCTCTCTATCGGGGAGCATGATGGTCGCACGAGGGAAGAATTCATGTCGCGACTAGGGATGGGGATGGGGGGAAGTATGTAGGCTGGGGAGGGGAAGGGGGCTGCATATGGGGTGGGAGATGGGGTTGTGCATGGCAGGTGGTGGGTGTGGTGGTGCTAAAGAATGCAAGGACTCGGTGTGTGTGATGTGACACATCCTCCCCTATGTCAAGCTTCATGGCTGCAGCAGCACTGGGATGGACAGATGGCTGCTTGCTGTGCAGTGATGAAGTTGGAACACACGCAGGCGGACAGGCATGACTCACATGGCCCGGTTATTACATGGGGGTGTTGCTAGTTTGCCCTCCCATGTGGAAGTGAGTAGAAGCCAACTTTCTGTAAATAATTGAACATATGATGTCGTAACCAACCAGTACGCAGATGCAAATTTGATCAGAGTTGAACCATGCCATGCCATGCCATTTAGTTCTGGGGAGGCACAAGGCGAGTTGCGGAAACGAGAATGCCTCTACTTATCAAGAGGTTATTATTAACGGGTACCAGGCGTAGAAATTGGGAACGTAACCTCTTTGTTTTCTGCTTGCTAAGGCTAAAGATCGATTGCTGTAGTGACGAACCTAATAAACACTAGTGTCTCCACAAATTGACACGTGGCAGAGTTTCTCGCCCAAGCCGCGTCTTCCCAATCATGCGGGTTCTCCTCCCCCGTCCAGCCTCGCATGCTCACGAGACTCGCGTCGCGGCGCCCCATCATGCCCTCGTCGTTGCTCACGTCGCTCCCAGGCGTCGCATCGTCGCAAGACTCGCAACGCAACCTTCTTCGTAACAAGCTCGTCGTCAGCATGCCGCAACAGTCCTCCTCGTCCTTGGCGACGCGTCCTCGCAGTCCCTCCCTGCTTCCACGGGCGCGGCGTCGCGGCTCGCAGCGTCGCAACGTTTGATAGACCTCGCGAGTAGTAATAACACATCCCACTCATAACGTCCTCATGGCCTGTGCATTACCCCGAGATATCCTAGGACGCGCGTATCATACTGCTACTATTGCCGCCACTGGCGCTACTGATACGGCTGGCACCGTGTCCGCTGCTCTCTTCACCGGACTGCACCGCGGAGCTGCGGGGTGGAACCGTGGCGTGACTCGCGTCTGGGCTGCTGCCTTGCACGGGCGTACGAGAGACCGAAGAGGAGGCAGTTTCTACCACCACCCTGTGAGTACTGCGCTCTGCGTTCAGCGAGGGCGTGCGAGTCGTTCCTCTTCGCTCTCTGTGCTCTCTTCGCCCTCCTCATTTAACTTCGCTTTTTCTTCCAGAAACACTCAAGAGACTGAAGCAGATTGTTTTCCTTCTTTCTTTCTGTCCTTTCTTTTCCTTCACGTTTGTTATTTCCCTTGTAACAAAAAGAGGTAGGTACACCCATGTGGCAAAGCTTGCGCCTGTCTCACACAGACGGACCGCGGTGCTTGCAATTGCAGGTCCGAGCTATGGCCAGCCTTCAACGAACCTTCGCTGAAGCAGCCTCCCAAGGGAAGCACAAGGAGCCCGCGAAACATGACGTCAGCGGCGAGAGCGGGGAGGCCGCCAGGCAGGCGCGAGGGGAGCAGATGAGCGGCGCGGGGGAAGAAACGCGCACGGAGGGGTCGGAGGAGGTGCGCGCGGAACAGGCGGAGGCGTACGAGAAGGATATGGACGACTACGGGTCGGCATACGCGACGCGGTCGTCGGACGAGGGATTCGGGCAGATCTACGGGGAACCCTTGACGCACTTTGGCGTGCGTGGCAGGTAAGCTCGCGATCTCCGCGAAACCCGGTGCAGTCTATCGGTGCAGTGCTCTTGAGAGCGTGTGTGCGCGCGTAAGCTCGAGACTGACTTACCTCTTCCGTATGTCGTGCGTGCGCGTGCGCGTGTACTTGTGATGTGTTTGCGCCTTTGCTCCGCGTATGCTGCGCGTGCGCGTGTTCCAGAGTTGGCAACGCGCCGGCGGCGTGGACGGAGGAGGGATCGAAGCTGGATCGTACGAGCGAGCCAGCAGGGCGAGAGGAGTACAACAGGAGTCGGGGCGCGTCTGTGGGGCAGACGGAGGAGGGGCGGCACGCCATTCGTGAGAAAGCGATGACGCAGGAAGTCGAGGGCGGTAGTCAGGGGTTCAAGAGTTGAAGATGCGGTTTAGTGCGGTTGGAGTGGGAGTTGTCTGACGAGGGGACCTGTGATTGAGGATTATAGGTGGTGGTAGTGGATTTCGAGGTGTGGCTGTTAGATAGGTAATGTGTACATGCTGTACATAGTCAATACTCCCGTGCCTTGCCATACCTTTCAAGAGGTGGGGTAGTCAGGGAAATTACATTTACCATACCGTAACACTCCTCCCTACCCAGTTCTAGAGTTCAATTCATCCACAGGTCAACTCTATGAGCCCTTTCGTCTGTGTTACTACTGCGGCAGTTGGATTACCAGTTAGGTGCGGGTAGGAGTGGAAATTGTGTCTAATAATGAGATGTACTGTTATCCTGCAGTCCTATCCTACAGTGGAATTGATTACATTATAATTATACATTGCAGTCTGTCTTATCCGACTGTAATTTAATCTCCAGTTGCATTATGTTAAACACGGCAACAAAACAACTCCCTACCAAAGAGTACAAATCAAGGTACACTTCACCATCACAGCACCTCACCTCACCATCCACTCTTAACACCCACCACTCCTTACCACCCTCCTCTCTCCACCACCCCCTCCTCACCTCACCACCCCCACGACCCTGGCCCGCCTTTGAATGGCCCCACAATGTCCTTGGTCACCCACCCGCCATAGAACCCCCCTGGCTGTGGCTCTGCGAGTTCACCACCCACACGGCAGGCGTCCATAGGCGCGCAGTAGAAGGCCAGGTGCGATGTTATGGGCTGGAAGAGGGGCGTGGGGCGCTCGTAGCTCCATGCACAGCGCGGCAGATGCTTGGACGCCTGTGGGGATGGTGGGAAGGAGGACAGGAGGGCGGAGAGGAGGGGGGAGAAAGGGGGGGGGGAGAGATGGGGGGGGTTGAGCAGAGCGGTGGGGATGCAGGCAACAGGGTGGGATATAGAGAGGCAGGTGGCAGGGTGGGAGGGATAGAAAGACAGGGTTCGATGGCCATATGGTTGATCAGAATAGTGAAACAATCAATCCCGTGCACATGTGGGGAACACAATTGGAGAAGAGAGAAAGAAACATCAAAGGAAGAAACAGGTGGAAGAAAGCTTGACTTGAGAAAAAAAGGATACGAGACAGACAGCCAATACACATCTGCTTATTTATGGGTGCGCTCTAACTCTGCAACCCTGCTATCCTGCAACCTGAGGTGGGTAGGTGTGTAACGGGCAATACAATGTTCTGACCTGGGGAATGGTGACGGTCCAGTATGTGGCTGCGCCCTTCCACTCGCAGAAGGACGACGCTGCGTCCTCCCGCTGCACGTACTGCATCTGAATGTCCTCCTGTGGGGGCAGCGGGCGAGAGGGATGAGGCCGCGGAGAAGCACGGCGGAGGGGAGGTGAGGGGGAGTGAGACGCGCAGCTAAGCAGAGGGATGCTGAAGCGGGAGAAAGATGAAAGGAAGGGAGGAGAGAGGTGAACAAGGGGGGGGAGAGGAGTTTGAGAGAGAGGCGAGAGATTTCGGCAAGAGGTGGGAGATTTGGGCGGGAGGTGAGAGATTTGGGCGTAAAGCTGATGAAAGACAGCAAGAGCGTTTGACCTGAGGGATGTAGTACACCGGGGGGTGACTCGTCTCCAGCACGCGCCATGCTTTCTCACTGTCCGCCAGCATCACGCCGCCCACCTCCACCTGCACGCGCTTCCCCACGCGCTCCACGCGCGGCGGGCGCGGGTAGTCCCACACCGACTCCTGCCCCGGCCCGGGGGGAACGCGCGCGCGGTACCCCGGGTGGTTGGAGTTCGGATTCATTGCCGCGGACAGGCGGAGTGAACGAGACGCGGAGGGCGCGGATGCGGAGGGATGAGCGTGGGGAGGAGAGTGAAGGAGGTGTGTGGGATTGGAGAAGGGGGAGGAGTAGGAGGAGGCGAGGGGAAGCGGAGGTTGCGCGAGTAGAGAGCTGGTAGTGAGGGGAGAAGTACGGGGGAGGGCAGGTGTGCGCTGTGGTCGTGTGGTGGAGGCGGTGGTGAAGAGGGGCAGCAGCAGCGGCAGCGGACGGGCGGAGCAGGTGGCGGCGACCATTGCTTTGGCACGCGCGAGGACTCCGAGTGTGCTCACGAGGACGAGAATGAGGACGAGGAAGAGCAAGAGGATGAGGCTGACCGTGCGCTCGTGCCTTGGTGCTGCTCGTTGCGCCGTAATACGCCCCAAATTTTCACTACTCCCCCTCCCTCTCCCCCTACTCCCGCTCTTCTGCAACGGGGATCCCACTTGTTCCGTCTACGACTGCCCTGAGGCTGCTCCCCCTGCTCCGTCCACGGCGGAGCGCAGAAGAAGAATCGTGCATGCGACAGATCGGAGGGGCGATGGCGACACAAACGGGAGGGAGGGAGGGCACGGGAGGGCGAGAGTAGGAAGGAAAAAGAACTCTCGGGATTCTACTGATGCCTGACAGCGAGCTGTGCAGCGCGAGAGCAGTGTATAGTTGATCCGAAATCACACACAAGTTAAGTGAATATAGGATGCCTGATTTTACTTACCTTGCCAAGTAAGCTGTCGAAAAGTAGAGTAGGCAAGGCGAGGCGCGTTGTATGATGTGGTGTCGGGGGAATAATAATGATGGTGAATCTGCGAGCAGCTGGAAATTGAAGGATGGTCAGGGAGGGAGGGGGTGGAGGCACGCTTGGGGAGGGGAGTCAAGGTTGAAAACGATGTGTGCTAGCGAATCTCGACGACATCACCCAGCCTGGTTTCCTGGTTTCCTAACGTCAATCGCGACACGTTTCTTGATGAGTGACGTGGCCAATTACAAGCTCGACCACGTGGTTGGCCGTCCATCTGTCCCCTGCCCTATCGCAAATATCTAAAACCCGAGATTGTAAGGATTTACAAATCCTTACTGAGGCACTCGTTAGCTAGGACATCCCGAGGGTTACGCGATGAACCTGTCTTGCCTATCTCGTCGGCCGAACCACTCCCGAATCGGCCTCCGCACCAAACGCAACCATCACCGAGCCATCCTTTCCCGACCTCCCCGCCTAGCTAGCTCTCCCCTATTTAGGTCTCGTCATTTACATTATATCTTCCTTCTGTAATTTCCATTCTCGTTATTCGATATTCTGCGCACTCTGCAAGTTCATTCATAACAGCGATGCTATTCAAGACTGTAATGTCGTTACACGCTACACCTCACTTTGTATGGGAAATTTAGATCTATTGTTTTCTTCCATCCCCCTACCGTATTTCTTTTCTGTTTAGATTCAATTTCCCTAACTTCTCCGCCATGTCTCGCTTCCCCGTCCGCACGTGCCTCCCCTTCGTCCTCTCTTCCGCTGCGCGCATCCTGGTGCCAATCGCGCGCTCGGCGGAGCGGCAGCTTGACGCGGTGCTGGCGGACGTGCTGCTGCCGGGGCCGCTCGGCATCGTCGTGCACCGCTTCTCGCGCTACGAGCGCGCCGTCGCTTCCGCCGACCTCGCCAAGGCGGAGGCTGCGGCTGCGTCTGCGGATGCGCGCATGACAGCGGAACGATGGCCGCGGCATGCGCGGTAATCCTCTTCCCGTCCGATCAGCTTTCCCCTCCACCATTGGCGCTGCCTCGGTCCATAAGAAGCCATGTCCGTGCAAGAGCATTGAAGCGGGCGTTGTGGAGCTCGCGGGCTCACGACGAGCCGGCGGTGCGACCGCGTTCAGCGACAAAGGGAGTTTTTCCGAAGCGATTTTGAAGGCGCTGCAGCGTTGGAGGGATTTGGAGGGCTCTGGAGGATTTCGTCAGCAGCTGTAGGGCCAGAAATCCCGCGCGGGACAGCTAAGGCTGGTGATGGCCGATGGCTGATGGGCGATGGGCGATAAATGGTGGGGGATGGTGCTGGAACCTGCCGTTTGCCATTCTAGGAGTACCCCTCATGGCATCCTGCAGCAAGCTTCCTGGCTGGTGTTTCTTCTTCTTGTACCAGTGGTACATGTAAATTCCTCTCTTCCGCATAGCATTTGAAGTACCTGTATTCAGGCAATTGGAGGCCTTCTCTCTCGCCTTATTCCAGGTGTCACTACCAATAATGGGGTTTAATCAAGCAACCCAGTCTGACTGACAGTGGATGAGTCTCAGAAACGCCAATGCTAGCATGATGAAAGTTACAATCAATTACTTGAACGTCCAGCTTCCAACGCATTACCGTTAGCTGGCTTGTTGGAAGGATGAAGCAAATAAAAAACGTAAGAGAGGCTGGCAGGCCGCCTCCTGCAACCAACAGCAGCAACTGCAGCAAGACACGCATAGCCAGTAGCACAGCTTTCACACATGCGTGTCTTTATTCTCACTATCTGACCAGTCAAGGCCTCTGGCATTCCGTCAATAAGCCCATTCAACAGGGAGTGCCACACTACCGTTTGGCCTCCACACACGCTCTTCCCCACCACCACCTGCTGCTTCCACCGATCCAATCAACCTATGCCCCTCGTCGTAATCACGTCTCACTTTATTAGCACCAGCATGAAGAGTCCCATCAGTAACAACAGCAGCACCACCGTCGCCAGCAGCTGCTGGAGCAGTAGCGGCAGCGGCAGCAGCTGGTCTAGGGCGCCCCACAAGCACGTTATTGTGTGCATCAGCGTGCAGCCCGAACATGTGAACCAGCCGCGCAGGCAGGTACATGGCCGCGCCGCTCTGCCCCGCGCCGCATATCAGGTTCGCGGGTGCCATCGCGAAGCGCGCCTCCGCGAACTGATTCTGTACAGCCGCGGCTCGAGGGTGAAACACGCCAGTCCCGTGAACTCCCCCGTGCGCGGCCCCATGCGCTGCTCCATACGCTGCACCCGGACGCGCCGCCTCGTGCCCAATGGCGTGTCCAGTTCCCCGCCCGTGTATAGAAGGGGAAGAATCGGGCCCGCGAGCGGTGATAGGCGGTACTGCGAATCCAGGATTGATCGGGCAACACGGCTCAGGTAACGGCGGAAAGCCCGCACCTGCATGGGAGTTTCCGCAGTGACCGGCCAAAGGAAACGGGGCTGGACTGCCGTTTGGTATCGTGGGAAATTGCCAGTGCGCGTACTGCGGCACTTGTTGCTGCGGCGCGGGCGCCGTCGTTCCCGCAACTGCTGGCATCGTTGAGAAGGCAGTAGCAGGCAGAAGCAGGGGCGGCGGCGGCGGCGCGATGACATGCGGAGCTGCGACTGCGGAGAGCGGGGGCGACGGGTGCACTCGCAATGGGCGCGGAAATTGACATGTCGCATTCGCCACGGACGCCAGTGCCGGAGGGCCGAGAATGGGCGCACGTGTCGCCGTAGGAAGTGGGCCGAACGAGCAAGTCGATGGTGGAATCAAGGAACTTGGACCTGGATTGCACCCAGAGGAACACGCGGAGTCGCCGACTGTTTGACACAGGCGAAAATGACACGATGGGGGCGAGACGGAACGAGAAGAGCTTCCGCTGCTGCACCCGCTGTTCCTCCCGCTGAAGCTGCCAGCATGCATCACCTCCCAATAAATATTCTGAAGCGGAGGTAACGGGGACGGTGGGCGGTCGAGGTCTCCAGTGGAGAGGAATCCAGAGCAGGCAACGCGGCCCAGCATGTCGAGATCTGACGGCTGGAGTTCGTCGCCGCGATCATCTGCGATGCACGAGCGCGCGACCCATTCAGCTACGGAATAAGCAGATGTTGCGTCCGGATGGCCTCGAGGTTCTCGCTCACTTTGCCATTTCGTCATGGCGGGTTTTGAAAGCGCTGTCCCCCGCGATGGTACGAGCTGGCATGATGCAACATGGGATGGAGGAGAAGCGGGGCAACTCGACGGGAATGGAAAGTTGGAGACATGCGTTCGTGCTTGAAGTACGAGTTCGCTCGATGGGGGAGAGTTCCAAAATTCCGAAGGAGCATCCATAGCAGTTGAGTCTCAACGTCAATGCTGATATGACTTTTTCATTCACGAAAAGCGGCTTGATGAAAGCAGCTCTCGCTGTGTGATACACTATCGCGATTGCGCAGTCGAAGTCCTGAAGCTGGGACGTAAAAAATGTTGTGCTGTGCTTGAAGAGCTGTTGTTTGAAATAGCTTGCAGGAGGAATCGGACGGGAAGTCCCCATGATCGGGGTATTTACTCAGAAGTTGCTTCATTTTTTTCTGCTATAGTGTATTCCATCCTCCAAAACAGAATCACAGTACATACTGGTCACACCTATTCTACCTTATCTTCTATTTCTATTACGTTATCCAGAATCACCTAAAGCTCCCCGATCAGAAAGTATATACTCCCAGTACAATAAACAAATTCCGTTTACGGGCACCCATGAAGATGATTTGGCTCATTTCCAAACACGCCACGCCAACACATGCACACAGTGGAAACAGCTCGAGCCGCGGCTCCCCCGCATATGGAATTGGGTGCTCCTTGTTACATCCAAAGGCTCATTCATTGGCTCCGCGCACCCGCCCGCAGCTGCCGTGAGCTGCCTCACTTCAGACAACATGTTCACACGGACTGCCATTCGCCATTTCTGAAGTGGGACGGGTTGGCTGCAAGCTGTGGGACCGCGGCTCGCCAGGCTGCAGAGCGAGGCGCTTTTCATTTCAAACGAGGACATCGACATTGTGCTGTAAACCTGTCTAAATGCGGTTAAAAGGTATCACTGTATCTGGGCAAGCTCAGGATCATTGACAAACGAGGACTTTGATCATCAAATGTATCCAATATTTATAAAGCTGTGAGGGACAGGCCTTGGTTTATCACTTGAAAACAGGGTAGCAGATGTTGGGCTGAAATCCCTAAGATCTTTAGTAGAGTTAAAGTCTGAGTAAGTGATGTAATAGCGGAAGCGTTGAATAAAGTCCTTGAACCACCTTGCGCTAGTATGTGAGGGCAAAGTAAGTTAATTAAAGCAAAGAGATACATGAATATATATATGAGTACAGAGAATATGAAGAGACATAACTGTAACTGCTTTATTGTTGCGGTTCGATACAGTGCGACTCGGGCAACTGCTCAATGTCGAGTCAGTTGCGTGTCCTTGCTGTCGCGCTGCGTCAGGTCAAAGGTCGCTGACCTTTGACTTTCTCGTAACCTCCGGCGGTTACGTTAACTTCTGAGGGTTGACTCGCGATGCTTCGATTTGAGCTGCTTCGCTTGTGTCTTGAGTTCTGACACGACAGAGGCGCTTGAACTATTTGTTCCCAACACTCCCCTTCGCTTCTGGAGTGTCGCTGATGGTGACGTGGCTTTGTCCGGTCAGCAGCATGCAGTACTCGAACTTCAGTTTTCCGAGCTTCTTGGTCAAGTAGTCAGCTGCCATCTCGGACGTGGGACAGTAGGATAGTTTGAGTTTCCCTTTCTCGATCTCGTCCTTCACGAAGAAGTATCGCAGGGCGATATGCTTCGTTCTGTTCGCGAATCCGCTCTTGTTGGCGATGCGAATTGCAGATTGGTTGTCGCAGAACAAAGTGAAGTTGGGTAACTCGGCTAACTTTGCTTCTTCCAGCAGCTCGCGAAGGTAGAGTCCTTCCTTGGTGGCTGAGCAGAGTGCGATATATTCTGCTTCAGCTGAGGAGAGAGCGATGAGTTCCTGCTTGCTCGATTGCCAGGAGATAGGTCCGATAGGTTCGAGGCGGTAGATGTAGCCAGTGCGGGAGCGTCTGTTGTCTAAATCGCCGGCGTGATCGGCATCGACGTAACCGATTAGTTTCGTCGGTGTAGTTTTACTCTTGTAGTATGTCAGGCCGATCGTCGAGGTGCTCACGAAGTAGTGGAGAGCGCGGTCGAGTTCCGCCAGGTGTTATGTTTCGGGCCTTTTGAGATAGGTAGCAAGTTGACTTGCGGAGTAGGACAGATCTGGGCGGCAGGTGACGGCTGTGAAGAGAAGGCAGCCCAGCTTCCTCTGGTAGTCGCGTATTCCGGCGGTTTTGAGTAGAGCGAGACCTCCTTTGTCGTTCCCTGCCGTGTAGCGGTATGGCGTGGAGATAGTGGTAGGTGTGAGCGAGAAGCGTTTGGCGATAGTGTCGGCATACTTTTCGGTACTGAGATAGATCGCGTTCTCTTCTTCGCGGATGTTGAGTCCGAGGTACTGAGTGATGGTAGAGGAGACCGTGAGTGTAAGATCCCTCTGCAGCTCCCCTTCGAACCAGGTGGTGACGTCGTCGGTGGAGCCAATGTAGAGTAGGTCGTCGACGTAGACGATCAGCAGGATATAGTCGGCGTTTTTGGTGAGTCGATACATTCCTTGGTCGTGAGGTAGTTGGCGGAATCCGATGCAAGTGAGGTGAGTGTGTAGGTGCTGTTGCCACAGCCGCGGGGCTTGTTTGATACCGTAGAGCGATTTCAGTGTCAGATTTACATCACATAGCTGTTGTAGGCTAAAGTGGGGTAGCACATATGGGGTACAGGTTTCTAGGGTTGTATTTGTACCCAATCTTTCCTTAGTCATTCCCATTCCTGTTCTTGAGTTTCACATGGTATCAGAGCAGGTTCCCTGTGGGAACTTCGCCTAGGGCCCACCACTCGAATTTTTTTCCTGCCCGAAGCGCACTCGTTCCGAGTCGCGCCTCGGGCCTTTCTCTTACCG